TAGTTCCCAGATTGAATCTGTGTCTCTAGCTAAATCCTCTTCTCTATAATTAACTTTATTTTAATCTTTCTTCCTCTATCTTCATCTTAACTTTTATCGATATCCATCCTCATCTTTTTCTTTATATTTATCATTCTTTTTACTTTTATGTTTATCATTTTCTTCATCTACATATTCCCCTTCACCTTTGCCCTTATATAAGTAAAGTGTTTAATTTTACCTCTGTCTTGATTTTTGCCTTTACCTTTATTTATTTTTACCTTTGCCTTTATCCTTTTCTTTATTTATGTGCGTACTCACCTTTATTTTCATTCTTGTATTGGTATTTCATTCATAATTTATCTGGACCAAAAAATTTAGTGCAAGTTTAAATAATAACACTAATAATTACATTCTGAAACACTTGTTTCCGCCCGACCATTTCCGTTGCACCATTTCCGTTGACATTTCATTTGCCAATTTACTCCCAACCAACCAACCGCCGCTAAAGAAGTTTCACTTAAAAAAAAAACCAAATTGCCTTGCAGAAATATTTAGACTGAGGGGTGTACGGCGAACTTTATTTCTGATACGGTCTAATGTTCGTCCATGCATATGTCACATATGTATTTGGTATTTCTTCACTCAACGTTTATCGTATCAGAATAAAGTACCAGTAAAGTAGTTGTATTTATTTAGAATTTACGCAAATGAAATTGAAAGTTAAAATTCAGTATTATTACACAAATATGTACGTCTTTAAAAGCGAACCGTCTTTACAGCCGTATCTGCTCTTAACTCCTCGTCGTTGTTCACACTTCTTCCTTGCATCATCGTTCTACCCCAATTTTGTCGTAGTTGCCATCTTTCTTCATCTCTCCACCCCACATGTATATATTCGTTATTTTGTATAGATATATTTGCATACAGATTAATTTGATGATTCATCCTAGTCGATTTTCCTACAGGCAAGTAGTAAATAAAGCAATTTGCGAATGAACCAACCAAAACAAAACTGATAGCAAAATTTTACAACCGGTGGAGGTGCCAAGGACGTGCTTAACAGATACACATCGTACCTTTGCTGCAAGAGGTCATAATACAAAAAATTAAAAACTCGAGAAAAACTACTTGGAAATAAGAGTTTAGCATACGCTCCATGGTAAAATAAACACATTTTATACTTTTGAGATATTGTTTATCGATACAGCTATGAAATGTTTACACAACATGGAACACATTTCTGTATGCTTAACTCAAATTAAGAATTTTTTGATTATCACACGCTTACAGCAAAAGTACAATATGTGTACATGTGCATGTGCATTTTATTTTTTTTTGTAATATGTATGTATGTATGTACTTATGAACTTTTCTGCGTTGCTAAATTTGCAGCGCGTTTTCGTCTACCCTCTACCTTTTACTGGATATGTAACTGCCCTTGGATGCTTCATACTGGCTAGGAATGTTAATCCCGGGATCTCGGCCATTTTAAGTTCCCAAAAACCACAGGATTCTTGGCAAATAATCCCGGGATTTCCGGGATTTGTAATGCACTGATGGCAATAATAGAAAGTCCTTTTCTTGACCAGTATTGGCTACAGTTCTTTTTTTATTTAATAATTAATATTTTTTTAATAAATGTCTGCCTCGTACCGCGCGATATTAAATTTTCAACACAAATATCAATATATTCGCGAAACCAAATTGCGTTTTTAGTTTTTCACTCTGACGTCTGTAATAGAAAAATGATTTAAAAAATTCGCAATATTTGTTTTTGAAAAAATTATATGTTAATGACTTACTCGATAACATCCTCGAATTTCGTCCTTCTAGTTTTATCAGCGTAAAAAATTACATATTCGTCCCTGTGAGTCCAAAAAATTTTATTTTTTTTATTTTTATTCTAAAGAAATTTCCTATTGCATTTGGTACCCATATTTTTATTCTACATTCCATTGAATTTTTTAAATAATTTTTGGAATTAATCATATCTTTAAAATTAGAAAGTCCTTTAAAATAAATCCTTATGTCAGAGAGAAAGAATAAAAACACCACTTTAAAAAAAAAGTAGGTTTCAAACCCATTTAGTTATTATTAATTTAAGGTAGGAGAGCTTCTCCAACAATATAGAAGCAATTTTTTCGATTTAAGTTAATGAAAAGTAATGATTATCTAAATCCCGCGACTAATCCCGGAATCCCGATATGGTGTTAACGACATCCAGAATATCCCGCGATCAGAAAAAGCCTAAAAATTAACATCCCTAAGACTGACATATGTTGTAAGTACAGTATATTCCGTTTAGCTGCATTTACCGCAACTGCACACGAGTTGTTGCATTTAAGCGAAATGTCTAGCTAAGCAGAAAAACCATTTATATGGGTTCGTAGACCGCTTCTGCAAAAAGGTTCTACATAAAATCAAGCATCTAAAAGTTAATGAAAAAAATTGGTAACTTTGCAATTTTTTGTTTTTTTTTTTTTTTTTTGAATATTTGATAGTCATTTCTTCCATTTTGAAAATTTGTTTCGAACTGTTTTGAAAAAATTTTCCAAAGCTTTAGGAGCAATATTATTTTCTTCTGGATCTTCATCGTCACTACTGATTTCAAAACCTGTACCAGGTTCGCAAAAAGAGATACATAGAAATGTTGTAAGCAAACATAATTTTTATAAAAATTTTTGTGCTGGTAAGCGAAGTTTTTTTTTTTGACAAATCAAGAAAACTTACTGAAAATGGGCTGCAAAAAGCGCTGCCAACAAAAATGCAGCTGAAATTGAAATTGTGCACCTACAAAAATGCACTAAGTGAATAACAGCTAAACGAATATACTGTACCTATACTATATGTATGTGTATACATTCATGCATTTTGCTATGCAGAGTCTTATTCAGTGTTGCCGTTTAAGCCCTTTGGTGACTAGATTTGGCGACCACTTACGTTTTTTGGCTACTAAATTTCAAAATTGCCACTAGCCCTTTTTTAGCCCTTCATCCGTGGCATGACCAAAATTATATATTTTCATTAATTTCATTTCAATAGGTTGCATATATTCGGCCCTGTGTCATCTAATCTACAAAGTGTTATCATATTTTGAGCAATATTTTAATTGGAAAGAAAACGGAAATTTTTTTTTATTTTTTTTATCATTATTGTTATTTAATTTTGTGGTTACAATGCACATATAGCATAAACGGAAATGGTTCCTATACACTTCATATGTATATACAGGGTGGGCCAAATAACTTCTTTATTTTTTAATATTATTGTTATTTCTTTCTGCATGTTATAGTCCGGTAGATTGTGGGACTCTAGCAACTATGGTAGGTCTTATTTGCCCACCCTGTATAAGTAAAAAATTTGTAGCTAAATTTTTTAGCCACATCGAATTCTTTTAAACTATTTTGAGCCTTTTTAAGAGGCTTGGCTACCAATATAAATGTTTCGCGGCAACACTGGTCTTGTTATACTCAATTGTTCACGTCTAGCCACCAGGGCTACCAACTTCGCTCAAACCGTGCCATTTTTAGCCCTATTTTACTTCAAATGGCACTTACTTTTTCAATTTAGCACAAAATGCCATCAATACATACAATGCAATCAATACACTTTTGTGAAATCCTTTGCGTGTACTTCTTTTTCTCAACTAAAATTTTCTAATTTCTAAAGGTTATTGAACTGGTTTATCTCATTTTATCATTGCACTTTTGTTTTGAAAATTTGGTCCTTCTTTTACTACTAAATAGGAAGGATTAAAAAGAATGGCACATTTATTTTTCTATTTGACCCATTTTGACACTTTTTATCCTCAGTATGGCACCTCACAGCTAAGGATAGCTGGCAGCCCTGTTAACCACTTTTACTTTTATGACCGGCTGCCTCGTAGCCTACATACATATGTACATAAATGAATATATACATACATACATATCTCTTTGTCTGGCTGAGAAGCCTGTTGTTTTTCCCTATCTAAACGAACTCTCTCTTTTTGCTCTCCTGTGAGTATTTAGAATTTCGCTTCGTTATGCAGCGGCTTTCGCTGTTGTTATCGTCGTGTGCTCTTTGTTGATTTCGTTATAACGAAACGAAATCGCTAGCCGGCATGTGACATCACATTGCGAAAAAAAGTTTTTAGTAACGGAAAAAATGCCAGACGAGTTGGATGTACGGCAGTTAATTGAAGAAGTGAAGTCACGCCCTATTATATGGGATGTACGATACGGGCAGTACAAGGATAGGACAAATACACCACAACAATGGACTGAAATTGCGACAATTCTGGGAGTAGATGGTAAGTTTACATATATGCATCAGTTACTTAAATAAGTATTGAACTTTAGTGTTAAGGGGGAAAAGGGAGCGTAGCGAGTTTGTACGAGACAAGTACAGTTGTGTTTGATTGTAGATGATAAAGTATCAGTTTATTCAAATACACACAAACAACTGTCTGTCTGCACTTAGGTACATACATATTTATATAAGTGCAATTTGCGCAGTTCATTCATAAAAAATGGAAGAAAGAAGCGAAAAAGTGTGAGCTTGAAAAAGTTTCTTTTGATTGTTGTGCAAAAAAGAACAAAAAATTCTGTGTATGTGTGTATATTTTTAGCATACGCAGCCGAATTTTATAGTTTTTGTATTTTATTTTTGTAAGTATTTAGGGAAATTTTTACACGTTTGCCTGAAGTGCTTACATATACTTGCCTGCTATTAAGGTGACCAGAATTTTTTGACATTCCAGGAGAAGCAATTCTCCACACTGAAAACACAAACATTTTTTTTATGTTTATTTCGACACATAAACAATGAATAAATTAACAATTGAAAGTTTCTCTAAACACAAGTCAAACAAGTTGATAGTACACTGCGTTGCATGATTATAAGACCGCCACATATTAACAAGTTTTGACTATTTATTTTTAAATTATTTAATTGTAATTGTATTAATTGCAAAATAAATTGCTTTTGTTCTTCGTCTTTCGTCAAAGTTCGATTATAATTTTGTATCAACGCTATACCTCGCTCAGCAATATCATTAACATATTTAATACTCTTAATCGTCTCGAAGACAACCAACTTCAGGGTAATTTTTTGGAGAATTTAATGCCCTACAAGAACGTGTATCCCTTTTCTATAACTTTTTTTTAGCGGTTCAAAAGTTACAACATATTTAATGAAAACAAATTGTTTTACATGTTATTTACATAGAAAACTTCAAATGTCCACCGACACCTTTTCAAATTGAAATAAACAATTTTTCCAAATGCTATAATTTCCTTCTCAGTAAATACATAGGTCATTTTAACGCCATAAATTCGCTAGGTTAGTTATTTTGCACCACCCTAATATATATATACACTAATTGCTCGTTTACAGTAATAAGTACAGTAAGCGGTTGTAGTAATTTTATAATGTATTAATCATTTTTCGGAACCGCCAAAACCGGACCACTATAACATGTCACTCATATACAACTGATTGTTCAGATGTGAGATTTTTTGTTACAAACTCCTCCATTTATGCAGCTAGGAACATGAAATTTCGCCAACTATTCACTCATTGTCAACATAAATCTTACAGTTAAAATTACGAAGATCGGGTCACTATAACATATATGTAGCTACCATACAACTGCTTTTTCAAATACGGGGTGTTACTTTAATAAAAGTCCTTCATTTGGCCTGCTAGAACCGAGCAATTTCGTGATCTATTTTCTAGATAATCATGCAAATTCTACTGAGAAAAAATTTTAGGATCAGTGCTGTATAAGCTATATCTCACTATATCATTGTTCAGATACAAGTTTTTGCGATATAACTCCTTTAAGTAGGCAGATGAAACCATTAAATTGTGTGTTCAGTTTACATATCGATCATACTCAGTAGTGAAAACCATTTAGATCTGTGCTTTATAAGGTATATCTTCCATACCACTGATTGTTCAGGTAAGAGTTTTTTTTATATATGTAGCTCCTCTGTCTATGTATGCAGTGAAGGTAAAATTTTTGCTTAGCTCCGAAACAACTAATTTAAAACACAGTAATCGGTTGAAGAAAACTTTTCTGATGTTAATGAAAGGTAAGAAGCCTTCGGCATAGTCAAAGGCAGCACTGTCCTTACTTGTTGAAGTGAAACTTCTTTAGCGGGGGTTGGTTGGTTGGTTGGCAGAAAATTGGCAAATTCAACGTAAATTGCCCAGGGAAATGGTGCAACGGATATGGTTGGTGCTGAAACAAGTGCTTCTTGAGTGTTGCACAAGGTATGAATTTAACAAAATAAAATACCACTTAGAAAAAGACCAATACAAGAATGAAAGTTAAGGTGAGTACGTACATAGGTAAAGAAAAGGAAAAAGCCAAAGGTACAAATAAAAACAAAAACAAAGATGCGTAAATATAAAGGCAAAAATGAAGACCAATGTAAATTTAAACACTTTACTTATATATATAAGGGCAAATGTGAAGGGGAATATGTAGATGAAGAAAATGATAAACAAAAAAGTAAAAACAAAGATGAGGATGAGGATACCGATAAAAGTAAAGATGAAGTTAGAGGAAGAAAGATTAAAATAAAGGTAATTATAGATAAAAGGATATACATAAATAGAGACACAGAGACTCAATCTGGGAACTATTTATATTAAAATTTTCAGAATTCTCGGGACATATCGATATAATAATCGATTTTGTTATCGATATGTGTACCGATTTTGATGTCGATTTTGCAATCGATATTTTTAACGATTTTGTTATCGCTGCTGTTATCAACATTTTTAGCGAATTTTTATGATATTTTTATCGATTTTGTTATTGATATTGTTATTGATTTTGTTATCGATAATTTATCGATTTTTTTATCAATTTTGTTAAGGGTTATTTATAGATTTTGTTATCGGTATTTGTTTCGATTTTCTAATCGACTTTTGCTATCGATTATATATCGATTTTGTTATCGATATTTTAATCGATTTTCGAATAGATTTTGCTACCAACATTATCGATTTTGCTATCGAAATTTGTATCAAAATTGTCATCGATTTTGATATCGATATTTTTATCGGTTTTATTATCGATATATTGTTGGATGTTACTATTGACTTTGTTATCGATAGTGTAAAAAGATGAAAATGGAGATAAAGGAAAACAGAATAATATAAATGTAATTAGAACGAACAGGGGTAGAATTAGGGATCTATCTATGTATGTATATATTTATGTATGTAAATATGTATGTATATTGGTTATGAGACAAAATCGATATGTAACCTAAGTTTCGCTTCTCCAGTGTGGCCCAGGCGAACTTACATTTTTTCGTACATCCGTTTTGGAGATATAGATTTTTTAAAAAGCCATCATTTTTAAATGCCCATAACTGTACAAAAATTGCCCGATTGCGACTTTTTTTGGCAGTTTTTTCTTTTTCAAACCCGAATTTCCTAAAGGTTTTAAAATTTGTAATATAAAATGCGGATTTCGAAAAAAACTGATCGACTTTCTTGAAACTTTTACCTAAAAAACTTTCACTCATTTCGCATCTTTTAAGCCCACTCTGACAATGGAATAACAGTTAATCTTTTTTATTTCGAATTTTTTTTTAATTCCATGTTTTAGTCATATATAACTGTCTGTTGTTAAATTAGCCTGTCAACGTTGAATCTTCCCTTTGCTGCTACTAGCACAGTTTTTTGCTTTACAGAAGCGTGTGCGTATCTTGGATGCAACAAGAGAGTGTACCAAATCTATGTTTGCTCCCCGGATCGTACATTTGAATGTAAAATTTGGAAATATGCCTTCCGGCGCACGCTTGAACATGATCGATTTGGTTGAAGTCGATAAACCTCAGTATGTGGTCGGATGTTTCGGTGATTCTGCATTTAAAATTACAAAACCTTTTCGAAGAGCTCTACTTTAAAAGACATAGATTTATCGATCTTTCATACATATAATCGATTCTAAAAAGATAACTCTAGTTCAAATTAATAATCATTCAAAATTCACAGAATCTGGAAAAAACTATGGGCTGATCGAATACAGCATTAAATTAAGTTATGTAAATCGGAACTTGCGACTTTAGGTTCTTATTTTTTTTTTGTATGCCTTAAGCTTTAGAATTAAGAAAATATTTTTTAAATTACATACATATGCACATGCTTTTTTCCATACCCACTAATTTATTTATTTCTTTATTTTCTCCTCCCCCTCAACACTTCCACCGATAGTGGACTCTTGCAAGCGCAAATGGAAAAATCTACGCGATGCCTATCGCGCCGAAGTGCGTCGCATTGAGCGTCGTGTAGAACGTTTAAGAGCTTCTGGCACCCATGACAGTTCCATAGAAATACGCAGCAAGTGGGCCTACTTCGAGCCGATGAGTTTCATAAACGACAGCCGTCGTCCCAGACAACAGACGCGTGCGCACAAGAGTGAAGGTGACGCCTCAAATGGTTCGCACGATGACCCACTCGGTTTCCATACGTTCTGTGACATCAAAATGGAACATCACACTACCGACGACGACGATTACGAAGAAGATGACCAACTTCTAGAACAATTCGTTAGCGCCGCTACACCACAAGCGGTACGTCGCCTCTCAAATTCCATATCGGAGGCCAATGCTGCTGAAGATGCAGCCACATCGGCTGACGCTGATCAAGGCAGAGCCAACAATTGCAAATGTTCAAATCGTGCTGAGGATCAGGTGCACTTCCTCGAGAATTTGGAACGTGAGGAGCAGAGTTTGATGCAGTCGACGCGCATAGATATGTCGCGCGACAGCATCACCAGTCATGTGGGTAATTCCGATTATAATTTTCTTGTCAGCTTCTTGCCACAAATGAAGCGTATGAGCGAGTTGCAAAATTTGCAATTTCGTGCCAAGATGAGCGAGCTGTTACTGAACACAATGACGCCGCAGCCGACTGCTGCACCCATGCAGCTAATAGCTAATGCAGCACAATTTCAACAACAACTACAGCAACAGCAACAGCCGCAGCTGCAACTACAGCAAAAACCACAGTTGTTGCAACTACAACAGCAACCACAGTTGCAACTACAGCAACAACCACAGTTGCATTTACAACAGCAACCACAGTTGCAGCTACAGCAACCACCACAGTTGCAGCTACAGCAACAACCACAACCACAGTTGCAACTACAGCAACCACCACAGTTGCAGCTACAGCTACAGCACCAACAAGAGCAAACTCAACGTGGTGTTATCCAATGTGCGCCCGTACCACTACAACTGGAATTGAAACAAGACGAGCAACAATTGCAAGCAACACAACAATTGCAAGCAACACAACAATTGCAAGCAACACAACAACAACAACAACAATTGCAAGCAACACAACAACAACAACAACAACAACAACTACAACAACAACAACAACAACCGCAGCAGCAAACGCCACAGCGTCAACAACAGTTTACCACCACTGATCTAATGGATGCAGATCCATTGGATAATAGGAGCGTAAGCGTTACTAGCGAAATGTGTGACGACAACTCAGTCAATTGGCCATGAAAGACGCGCGTTGCACTGCTTTCCAAAGTGTTCATTTTATTTTTCACGATTTTTACTATATTTATTTATGTATGTACCTAATTTTACTTGGCAGCCAGTCTTTCGCACAACTGAAAACACACAATCTCAAACTTTTCATGTACTAAGTATTAAAATATTTTAACATTTTATATATTCATTAAAATAAATTTTGTATTGATAAAAGTTTATTATGATTAAATAATTAATATCCACATCGTAATATTTAGCGTAGTTTAAGGGGATTAATAATAACTTGGTGCGCCAGTTTTTGTCAAAATTTAAGGCCCTTGGAGAGGTTTTCTAACTTAGCACGTCGTTTAAAATTACCTACCGTAAATTTCCTGCTTTGGAACTTAAACGTGTCTACTAAAATTTTTAACATTTTTGAAGGCCTTTGGGAGGACTTTGATTTATGCGGTGAACTCATTCCAGTTTGTCTATAAAATTTCGATTATTTTATACATATCGATAATTCGATGAATTTAGAAAACTTCAAAATCCGATAGCTCCACAAAATTCCATAGCTCGACTAATTACGATGATTTTGGAAAAATTTCGATAACCGATAACGAAAAAATCGATAACTCGTTAAAAATAAGGACACCTCTATAAGTTTCGATAACTCGGTTAGTTTTGAAAGCTCCATATTTTTCGAAAGCTATTGACAAACTTTGATAACTTGTTACACTCTGGTGATACTATAAAATTCGATAAGCAATGATAACTCGATAAACTTATATAACCTTGAAATTTCGATAGCACGATATATTTTGAAAATTCCAAAAATTTCGATTCCTTAAATCCAATAATTTCAGTTAATCAATAAGTATCGATAACTCGATAACCATAGCTAAAAATGCCAGCCATTTATCACTTCACTATGTTCAGCGAGGAGAAATTTGAGAATTGCATAAAATTGCATATCCAATTAAGAACGAGTGAATCACTTTTAAACACAAGTGCGTGCGTGTGTTTGTTCACTGCTCTTTTTGTATGCGGTAAATGCATAAGTCACTTAAACAGGCCGATTTGGTACCTATAAATTTAATGTCGGGATGGGTGCGATCGGGATTAAGTATTTAGTCATTTAGTCCCGTGTCCATCTCTACTACGTACATATGTATGTATCAATGCATCTTCCGCATATTTAAAGGTGATTTCCAAAAGGAATTAACAAAAAATTAACCCTACTAAAACTAGCATGGTGGTCCCCTTTAACCGAATACATATCTGTGACTAGTGTGACAGTGACCATTGGTGACAGAAAAAATAAACATTTTAAACAAAAACAACAAAGCAAACATAACAACGGAACACAAGTATACATAAACAGACGTGGTAGATCCCTCAGCTGTGCCCTGACGAATTGGAATTGACACTGAACCAAGCGCTGCATGGTACCAAACTAATACACTTGCATACGTATGGATATGTATATGTATGTATGTATGTATATGGTGAACTTGTGGGTTGACTTTGTGAATAACACATATAAAATTCAAGCCCAGTGACAACAAATTCTTGAGTTGTACTGTTCGGAGTTTAAGGTGTGTTCTTGAGCTTGACTGTGAGACAACGCAGAAGTAAAAAACAACAACAAAAAATTAAAAAATGAATAAAACACAAAATCGAAAGCTACAAACGCAGCAACATTGTGGATAATAACAAAAAACCGAACTGATCATTTTGGGGACAACAAAAAAAAGCATTCCTACACATATGTACATATGTATGTATGTGTATGCAATGTGGGCATGTAGCCTGCAAACCAGGCTGCTTGACATGAGTGACATGTAAAACACGCCTGCTGTTGGTGACATAGTATGTATAAACCAACATTCATACATACACGTACTTGTATAAGTACCCCGACAGAAACAAATCATTCTTCTTTAAATAAACTAATTGAAAGACTACTTTAAAACAAATGAAATGAGGAAATGTTTCGAATTTGTATGCTCTTGTTTCTCAAAAAAAAAAAAAACAATTTGTATCTTGGAAGTATGAAAAAGCATCTGTGAAGTGCAGAACGCAAGCGTATTCAAAAGAAACATACCGACTTTGAAGTTGTTTGCACGCAATTCATTTTAAAGTAGTTGAAATTAAATGTAGAGTCGGACAGTCGACTTGCTGCTTGCACACAATTCAAACTGAACATTTGAAAGTACATTTACATGAGCGGCTGTAGGTGAGCGTTTAAAGATGTTTGCTACAATTGGTTGCGGCCATGAGTGTCCATGTTCAAATCTCATTTAATTTTTAATTTCGGTTTTTCTTAGTTATGAAAATGTATCTGTGAAGTGCAGAACGAAAGCGTATTCAAACGAAATACTGAATACTGATTTTGAAGTTGTTTAAGCCAAATTCATTTTAAAGTAGTTGAAAATACATGCAGAAAAAGGCAATTGACTGCTCCTAGGACATCGCCATGATAAATAAATGACTTCGTTGCAGGTAAAATAGTGACAATTTCAATTTGTTATCATTGAAAATAAAGTAGTTTATAAATTAGTTTCAAACTATTTCTATTTCCTGCAGGGTATGCACAGGTATCTTGTTGTCGCACTGACACTGACTTCGCTGCAATTACTGAATTGTTGTTGACATTGCCTTTTGGTGGTGGGGCTGATTGCCTGGGTTCAACTACATGCATATGTATATATACACCTATGTACATATGTATGTAGTCATTACGTGTATTGTGGAGCCTGTAATGAACTTTCGGTGCGAACAGCTATGCAAGTGGGGTTGCGTGTTGTTTAATTGGTGCCTAGGAATGCTAATTTTGAGGAGTAATATCGATACATTGGACAAATTAACATCGATGCTAAAATACATCAGCAGAAAAAGATCGATACATCGATGGTTTCCGATGTTTTACAATTGGTTAAGTCGTAGTGATTTTATAAAAAAAATTATGGTTTTCAATACACAAACAATACAGCCTTCTGCAATTCAGCTAGAGTAATGAAAACAAATGAATGCATTTATCTATACTTAATTCACATTCCAGTACCGTTGCTATAATTACATATGTGAAATTTAAAAATTCATACCATAAGGTATCTTAGTTTCGTAATTCTAAGACTCCGCATAATGAGAATTTTCAGTCACTTTGACAATATATTTGTCGCAGACTGGTGATCGATCCTTTTTTATGTGTTAGGTAAGCATTCCCAAAACTGGATTCCAATGAATTAATAACATAAGAACTTATGATCAGTTAGAAATTTTAAAAAAATAATGGGTAAGTTGAATCAAATGAAATTTTGAGTTACACTAAAATCGATGCATAAAACATCGTTGAAACTGACATCGATGTGTGGTCGATTTACCGATACATATTAGAAAATTGTAAACATCGATGGCAAACATCGAATTTTTAACCGATGTTATCGATGTTTCTAAAAAATCGATGCATCGCTTGCATCCCTATTGGTGACATTGGCACAAAAACTGCACAGCAATTGTATGTCACATATGTATGTATGTATGTAGTAAACGGATTGTGCCCTCTCGCATGTTTTCAGATATGTGGGGGTGTCGTTGAAGACCGGCGGATCTCTGCAGCTGCCGACAACTGGTATGTATGTAATTAAAGAACCCCTGTGCGAAAACACCGTGCGACAGTAAATTTTACTCACAAAAAAAATTATATATTCACGAAAATATGGACAAATTATAGTAAACCTACATACTTCGTTCTTCTTTCTGACGTCAGGATTACTTTTAAAAGGACTTAGAAATTTAAAAAATATGATTGTTTAAATTTTTTTTTAATAAATCGGTGCAATGTAGGATAACAATAAGGGTATCATATAAAAGAAAAAATTCTGTAGAATTGTAACAGAATAAATGTGTTGGTGCATAAGGAAGAATGCGAACGGAAAATATGCTTTACAGATTTTGTGTTTAAATAACCTGGAAAATTGGCAATATTTTTTTTTTATTTTTTGAGGAGTAATGTACGCAGGACCTCTTCATCGAATTTCGTCCTGCAAACTTTATTAACTTAAAAATAAAAAAATTTATTAGAATCGCAGTTTCAATGCCTTTTCATCCTTGTAAACCAAACAACTTTATTGTTTTTAAATTCTACAGAATTTTCACTCTTATTTGGCAGCCATATTTTTATTCTACATTGCAGTGTTTTTTTTTTATAATTTTTTGAATTATTCATATCTTTAAAATTTCAAAGTCCTTTGAAAAGAAATCCTGACGTCAGAGTGAAAAATTAAAAACGTAGTTTTACTTCATTTGGCCCATAATTTCGTGAGTGTATCGCTTATTTCGGGTGTTTTGAATTTTTTTTTGTTTTGTCGCACGGTGAAATCTACGAATATTTTTTTAAACAACTAAATACAAATTAGACTGTTTTTATACCCGAGCGCACGTGTGTACAAGGTATTATAACTTTGTTCACAAAACGAGTCGAGATAGATATAGACAAATGTACACATAAATGATCAGAATGAAAAGAGAAATCGATTACATTACAGTTACATCATTTGGTTTCTTTTTATTTTTTTATTTTAATTTAATTATTCTTATCTTATTTTATTTTGTGCTAATTTACTTAATTTTCTTTTTGGTATGTCTCATATTGTTTTTTTTTCTTTTTATCTCACTCTATTATTTTAATTTATTCCAGTATTCAGGTTTATTTTCATTTGCTCTATTTAATTTAATTTAAATTAAATTCATTTCATTTTGTTTCATTTTGGTTTATCTTATTTTGTTGTTTATGGCCTTATAACAATTATATTCAGGAATTTTATTGAGCTTGAGGCCACTTTTAATTAATTTTATTTTATTTTATTTGATTTTATTTTAGTTTACTTTATTTTGTGGTTTTGGTTTAATCTTTTTTTATAATATATAAATTATTCCTTTCGCAATCAATGCTTATTTTACCTTACTACGTGATGTTATATCTTATTTTAATTTACTTTGTTTCATTTTCATTTTTATTTTATTTTATCTCATTTAATTTAATTTAATTTAATTTAATTTAATTTAATTTAATTTAATTTAATTTAATTTAATTTAACTTAATTTAATTTAATTTAATTTAATTTAATTCATTTTAATTTNACTTGTTATGCTGACCTGGACCACTTCAAACGTACAAACATGATATATGTGCTGAACACCACCTCTTCGTGACCCATCGGCAATA